CAGGAATGTTTTAGGCTGCAGAATGATGTGTTTGTGGAAAATTATAACCCACCCAGGCCTTCCACTAGTGAAATTAGAATATTAATACCTTCATGTACATGAAGACCAAACTCATTTCTCTCACAGCTCCTGCAGTACGTGTTATTTTGCTACAGTGAGCTGTGGCCTCTTCTTACTGCGTGCTCCAAGACGTGTTTTGGCCACGTTATGCTCCGTGGCTTCTACCTTTAAAAGAAGTTGCAGGGGTAACAGCACTCAGGAGGAAGAAAGCAATATTTCGATGGCAAACAGTTCCTCCTCATTTTCAAAGCATAACAAACGTAAGGGTATCCTGCTCTTTCCACATCATTAGAGCTCAGAGGAACATATCTGAAACCAGCCAAGCAGCAAACCTACCAGGAGAGCCGAGTCTGCTCTGCTCAGTGCTTTGTTCCCAGCTGGAAAAGCCACTGCACATGCATGGACAAGAGATGGATGGACATCCGAGATGCCTGTTGCTGCTCCTGTTTACTACAGCTGGCACCACAATGCATTAAGCAGTGGCATTTCAATAGCCTCATTTTATATTATAGTTTTAAAATAAGTTGATAAAGCAAGAAAAATGTGTTTTCTCACTGAACTGCACCACGGACGAGATTTATGGGACTGGCACAGTCTTTTGGTTTCTGTTCCCACTGGTTTTGTGGTCTAAGGTGTAGGAATGGGAAGCACCAAGACAGAATGGCTCATGGAAGAGAGTTTGCATGAGAAAAGAAAATTATTCTCCTTAAAATTCACCTTTTGGCTTTGCTAAAATTTTGAGACACCCCTCTTACTAGAAGAAGTTGCCCATGTATTAAAAACCAAGGTGACATCAGTTTTCTCCCCATGTTACAGCCAGTGCTCTGGTCACTAACATGTTCTCTCACTGGGAGAATTTCTTTTCATTGCTGTTTGAATGGCTGCTCAGGTCAAGCCAACAGACCCATCAGTTGTCAGTGAAGTCTAATGCAAAGCTGAGAGCAGTGACAAGGCAAGTGCTCTTGGGAAGTGTGAAGATGTAAGATCACAACCTCAGCAATGGCATTTAAAAATAGAAACTGTAAAATAAAACAAAAAAAAATCTCTAGAGAAAGAAGTAAGAATTATCCAGTGGTCTTTCCAATATTTATTGATTATGATCATTAAGACCACTTTCTGAAATTTCTGAAGTGATTTCTGAAATCCATTTCTACACAGACAATCTGAAAGGGGGAATCATGGCTCAGAACTCACATGGCCTTTATGTCTTAAACATGGTACAAAACACAGAATCATTAAGGTTGGAAAAGACCTCAAGATCATCAAGTCCAACCATTAACCCAACGCTACCATGACCACTAAACCAGGTCCCCAGATGCCACGTCTACATGTGTTTTGAACCCCGTCAGTGATGGTGACTCCAGGACCTCCTTGGGCAGCCTGGGCCAAGGCCTCACCACTCTGTCAGGAGAGAAATTCCTCCTCATATCCAATCTAAACCTCCTCTGGCACAACTTAAGCCCTTTTCCTAGGATGTACCAAGGATTTTCAGCCCGTGCTCAGTGCTCTCCATGCTGTCTGACAGCACAAAACCCAACCCTGGGCTTTGGTTTACATAAGTTGTGGTTCTGCCTCCGGAGCTCCCAACCAGACACATTTTCCACATGCAATTAAGTAATAGTGAGTGAGTTGTTGTACATGACATTTAATTTTCAATAGCTGGGGAAAGTAACACGGGAGCTGCAGGCAAGATCATTAATCTCCTCCAGATCCTCTGTGCTGCCAAGTACAGCAACTCATTCCTCACATTGCTAATGCTGCTCTTCCATCATTTCTGTGTGTGCTGTACCAGGCAGAGCCGTGTGAGCAAATGTACACATTTATATGCACTCACCCACAGATTATTACATTGTTCACAGGTAAGCTGTCTATGCACAGAGAATATAAACCAACATTGGGTATGATGCATCTGTTGGTGGAAAGAGCCCATCAGAAAACGGCGTGGGAATAAGTGCCCAGTGAAAGCCACAGCTGGAATAGGGGCATTTATGGCATTTCAATATATTGAAGCATATGTGAGTTTTGGGAAAGAGGCAGCTTCTTCCCAGAGCTCCTGCCCAGGGTCATAAGTGTAACAGTTCCTGAACTCCAGAGTGAATGGGTGGAGGTGTCTTTAATTCACATACAGAAAGGAAAAATGTTCCTGCTTGGAGTAAAAGATACCCACATGTAATTCTTATGCAGGTGAAAGTGTGTTTTACCACATTCCCTCCTACAGAAGCCATCCCAGGTTTCCTCAGAGAAGAGGTTCACTCAAGTCAGGTTCACTCTCTGTACAAATAATCCCTAGCTCACTTTTTAAAACCTCTTTTGATGCCCATACAAAGCTATGCTTCATACATCCAGCCAGCCCATGTCCCACAGACTCCATCCACACTTGTCTGCTCCTCCCAGAGCAGCCCCAAGCCTCTGCACCATTGTCACTCCCTTCTGGAAGCCTGAGTGAAGCAAGCTGCCCGCTCTGTCCTTGTGCTGGTAGAACCAGCTAGAACACTTCAGTAAGTTATGGGAGAAGCAGCTCTTATTAGGGTGCTCTCAAGCCCAAAAGGGACAGCTTGACTCTTCACCAGACACCCTGAAAACAGGCATTCAAATACATTAGATTTTTCTTTTTCTACATTCTACAATCATAGAATCATAGAACGTTTGGGTTGGAAGTGACCTCCAAGGGTCATCTAGTCCAACCCCCCTGGTATGAGCAGGGACATCTCCAACTAGATCAAGCTGCTCAGAGCCTCATCAAGCTTGACCTTGAATGTCTCCAGGGAGACAAAACTCTTAAATTTAATTAAAGAGAACTCTTCAGCTGTCCTGAGAAGAACAGTCAATTAAAAGGTTTATTTCATTTAAAGAGAACTGAGCAAGTTCAGCATTTTCAAAACAAGCTAAATATGCAGATCTGTAATATAACAGGCTAAAGTGCAAACAAATGTTCTGATGAGAACTATTCTTACCGTATGAAAACTAGCTTAACCTTTGATGGGGCAGTCTTAATGATTGCAGATGCATTCTGATGGCTTCTTCCATACAGAATCTGATTGTTTATCTGTTGAAAGAAAATGAAGATTTTCATGTAAGTGGAGAAGGAGGTATTCAAGACTTCCAAATTTACTGTAGGATAAAGAGATAAGACCCAAAGAAAACACAATCTGCAAGATATGAATCATGTAGCTTTTGAGGTTCTTGCAGGCAGGAATATCAACACTGCACTGTTAAACATACCTGTGTGTGGAGTGTTAGAGACAGAAACACCAGAGCTGAGGCACCAAGAGCCTCTTTCAGGCACAGCTGTGCTGCAGAAAGACTTGATATGAGAAGCACATAGGAGGACATGGGCACTGCTCAGCTTGGCCTTAGACTGCCCAAGGCTCTGTTGCCCCTTCCCTCAGCCAGCTACCAGAGGAGGATGGGGGTCAGTCTGCAGCTCAGCAGAAACCCTTCAACAATCTCTCATCAGCTTTCTTCTCATTCCTTTCAAAAGGATAAATCCTAATTTGATTTTAAGAACCTTTTCCTTCTCATATTGATTCCAACATAGACAAAATTCCATCTTAGATTCCACAAAGGATCACAGAATAGCAGCCTTAGCACAGATTTTAAAATATCATGTTCTCACCATCTTGCACTCCAATTTATCAAAGGAAAACACTGTATTAATAGCAAAACATTGCAAGTTTTATTCTAGACCAGTATGAAACAGGAATCAATGTAGAGCTAATCTAGTCTCATTAGTATGCCACAAATGAGAGGAATCTTTTACTCCTTTTCACAGATCCATAGAATGGATTTTAAGTATCATTCCCAGATTTTTGGAAAACTACTTGATCTGAGGAGGACAATACAGATAAGACAACAGCACAAATTTTGAGACAGACACTCCTATGCCTTTACCTCCTGGCAGTTTAGGAAAACTTGCTGTTAGATTGTGCTGACTCCTCAGTTCCACAGAAGGAAGCAGAACTGATAGCCATGGAGACAAAGGACAATTTAAGGACATGCCACATCATGATGGTTCAAACCCCTAAGCACAGCACCAGACAGCAAGTACTTCTCTGGACACATTTGCCGTGTGCAAGCAAATGCTGCAGTTTTCAGAAGGAAATAGCTTGCCTTTAACACAATATGTGCTCCAAGACCTTTCTTTCTGTAGGAACTAGACCTTTCCCAGTTTGAGGAAGCTTACTGTCTCCCAGTGTCACGCTCAGTGAGCAGGACTTCAACAAGGACAACAATATCTCTGAAATGAATACAGTAGTTACTTTCATGCCAAGCGAAAGCATGCTTGGTATCACACCACAAAAACAACCTGCAGTCTAAAACTGGAATATTTGAAGCATTTTCTTCATTTCATGGGCAGGGCTTGTGTGCAACACCTTGCTCCACCTCAGCCTGCCTGCAGTGAGGACTTCAACAAGGACAACAATATCTCTGAAATGAATACAGTAGTTACTTTCATGCCAAGCGAAAGCATGCTTGGTATCACACCACAAAAACAACCTGCAGTCTAAAACTGGAATATTTGAAGCATTTTCTTCATTTCATGGGCAGGGCTTGTTCCCTTGGAGCAACACCTTGCTCCACCTCAGCCTCCTGCAGTGCCCTGAGTTTCTTTGGCTTCAGCTCCCTTTCATTAGTGCCTCCTGCCTCAGAGGTATCCCAAGAGGATAGTTCATGCATTACATAAACTATAATCATTCAGATCATATGCAGAACACAAGATAGATATGAATACCACAATAAATGTAAAGAAAGTAAAAGCTGACTTGAGCATGATGCAAAAAAAAAAAAACAAACCCAAAACCACTGTGTCATTAACAAACCCTTTGAGTAGTTTCTCAGTTGTATCCTGATGATTTTCAGATTTACAGCTAAGCTGAAGTGACCACTCAGCAAGGTGGTGAAGGAAAGTGTCCTCCCCTGACAGCAGGGAGCAGGACTACCAGAGGTGTCTTCCTTCACCTTCAACAATTTAGACTGGAGTAAGCATCAGGATAACAATGATCTGTGGAAGAACGATCATTTACCTACACCCAAATACCTGAAAACATAAACTAATTCAAAGCTCCATTTAACATCTTGTATTTTGTCCAAAATAGAAGTCAAAAGTTTAAAGATGAAGGAAAAAAAAAATTAATAGTATTCAGAGTCATAATGTTAGTTCAGGTTCATGGTTCAGCTCGTCCCAAGTCTTGCCAGCTAAGCCAGCATCAGAGGCTTTCAAGCGTGCAGAATAAGCTGCTATTTAACTCTGTCAAAATTCTCACTCCAAGCATCTTGATTAGATTAATGCACCTCTCTGGAGTTGGAGTGTTCATCCACCCTCCCAAAGTGAGCAGTCAGCTTCTTGTCAAAGCTGCAATTTTTCCATCCCACTCTTAATTTACAACGGAGTATTTGTGTTCACATTTGATATACCAATGCTGATTAAAACAGAAATGGTAATGGAGCCCAGGTACAATTAATAGTGATTACAGAAGGACTTTTTAATTACTGAAAATGTTTGTATTGGATTTTGGATTTGTGTTCTTAGAAGATTTTTCCATTCAAACAAGAAATAACCAGCCAAGTCTTACAGCCTTGTGTCATACAGGCTATGTGGTCATACTGGCAATTTCATGATACTCTCATCTTATTTTCAACAGGTCAAAACAACATGGAAGTTCATCAGTTAAATAAGGACAATACAAGGACAAGAATAAACCTCCTAACACTTGTTTATTCGTTCAGATTGAAGTGCAAACCTTTTACCCACCAAGTCACTTACTGTACAAAGAGAGAGCTGAGAAAGGTCTGTGAGAGTCTGAGCTGGCATGAAAAGACCAGCACTGAGGAAACAGCATCACACCAACATTAGGAGGGTTCAGAATGGTTGCAAAGGTAGGGTGAGAGGCAACATCCTAGGTCACATTTTGTTAATCAAAGATAAATTTAAAAATAAGGTGGCAAAAATGAATGCTCAGTTCCATTCTGGCTTCAAGTTGGGCTTGAAACTTTCAGTGAGTTTGTTGACTTAATTTCTCTAAGTTCACAAATGAATTATTCACTGGGAATACAGTATGCTTTGACAAATTGTTTGGATTTAGTTAAATTATCATCAGTTTTTCTAAACAGCAGACTTCTTTGATTAAAATTTATAGTCTTTACTCTGGCTAAATTAATCCTATTCACTAGATGTATCAAATAGTCCAAAATTTAATTAGCTGTGAGCTAGGTCTGTAAGTTATAATTATTTAATTACTGCAAAATGAAAGGATAATCAAAGTAATATATCTCCACAAGGTTTTGGACTGTCCCACACAGTTCTTACCGCCAGTATTAGTGTTTCTTTTCTTAAAAAAAAAAAGTCACTTTCTTTTGCAAAATAAATTAATGTTCTGTTAGCTGCAGACACCATAGTGATGAGTAAGGCACAAAAGCCTACTTAAATAAAACAAAAAAAGAGAACATCTAGGATTTCATAAGCAACAGAATTTTAAATCTTTCAAATTAAATAAAGTAACACGTCAGAGTAAGCAAAGAGTACTCTGGGAGTCAAAACCTATAAATCTGTGCTGGACTTTTTTCATTAGAGATTAGAAAAGAAAAACAAAGCTTTAAATAAGCAAAAAAAAAATCAACCTCAACTCTTCTTTAAATGTCTCTTTACATAACTTCTTGGCAAGACAGAAGAGAGCAGAGAAAGATAAAAAAACATGATGCAGCTATGAGGTCGGGTCAGCACACTTCAGTTCAATCTTTATATTAACCCTACACTGCTTTATGGTAGATTTTATGACACATCCCAAATGCACTGTTGCCTTCACCTACAAACCTTTTGGTTTAAAGTTTCATACATTAAAGTAGCAGAAACTACAAACTCACTGAAATCTGAACTCTTAAATTAAGAGAAAAAAAAATTAAAGGATTGTTTACTTCTCAGGCTTTAATTTACGAAACAGAAACATCAGATATGGATATTAAAAAAACCCAACCCACTGTTTTTCATATACAGCAGTAATGGAAATCCATAAAATTAGTATCATCTGATTTTTATGAAAATCAAGTTAAATGATACCCTAAAGCCAGCAAAAGAACTGGCACAGCATGCTATAGCAATTATTTCTTTGTACCAATGCATTAAGTTCCTTCTAACCACAGGAATTGTAGCATTTTGAGGTACAACCAGACTCTCTGGAAACAATGGAAAAAGTTTCAGAAACATTTTGACCAGTCAAATTATATAGACCGAAACATCATAAAATAAACCCCCAACCAATAAGGCACGAGGAAAACACTGGAAAGAAAAAAATAATTTATTAGAATGTGAATTCCTCTTTCAGCACCAAAATTTCTTGCCCGGCACACATTCAAACATGTGCATCATCTAAAATATCAACAGACCATAAACTCCATAAAGACAGAAAAGCTCCTGCCCTGTGTTGCAGCTGAGCTTTGCCATGGGCTCAGTCAGCAGCTGAACCCTGCACTTCCCCACCCAGAGTGTGGGAAGAGAGACAGGATGACAGCACATCACAGATTTGACCCAGCTAGTGCTCAATGTTACCTTCAGACAATGGATCTGAGAAGAACAGAAGCTATGACTACTGTGATTAAACAGTCATAATAATTAAAAAATCACCACTAGATTTAATCATTCAAGATGAGTCCCATCATGTGAAAACCTCATTGATTTTCTGTGTTCACGTTACTGTCCCTCCTGAGGGATAGTGCTGCTTGCCTAATCCAAAGTTAACTGTCTTGACACAGGAAAAACTGAACAATCCCACAACAAATAAATGGAGAATAAAACACTAATCCCCCACATTCTAAAACAGAAGGGGCATTGTGAATTTGGCTGGGTAGTTCATCTACTTGGATGAAAATACTGATGTATCTACTGCATTATTATGATTTAAGTTCTATTTATGCAAGCTTCACATAAGAAAATAGTAACCTTTCCTCACCAAAAGGGTTGTAGCCTTCACAAAAGGGTTGCCAGGGGTGTGCCAAGCTGCCCTGGGCAGTGGTGGAGTCCCCACCCCTGGAGGGGTTTCCAAGCCGTGGAGATGTGGTGTGAGGGACATGGGTTAATGGTAACTGTCAGTGCTGGGTTAATGGATGGACTTGATGATCTTAAAGGTCTTTTCCAACCAAAATGATCCAATGATTCTAAAACTGCATGTAGCACAAACGTCCTCTGGCTTTGAGTTCTAACAAAAATGGCATGAAAACCAAAATGCCTCTCACACAGCAGACCGGAATGGACAGCAGGCAAACTTGTGCAGTGATTCTTGGCTCTGAAGACTAGCTTTTATTCTTCCAAGAGGTGCTGTGGCCTCCTAGAGCAAAACATCCAAATGAGCAGTTTCCTTCCACCTCCTGCCTCGTTTTCAACAAGAGAAGCAGGGCCAAGAAGATGGCAGAAAATCCCGACACCGGTAATTTAGCATAACAGGGCTCTGAACAGCTTGGTTTATTAATAGAGCACAGTTGACTCTCTTATGGAGAGATGATAATAATAATAATAATAATAAGGTGGATTATTCAGTGTGAATAAAACCTACCAGCAGGACAGACCCATGCAGAGCTCACAAGCAGCAGGGCTTAACAGCACAGGTACAGCACGACGTGAAGCGGCCGCGGGCCATGCTGGGCACAATCAGCCACAGGACTAAGCCCAAACTAATAAGATCCGAAGCAGTGCAGACACCTGCACTAAAACAGCAAGAGTGCAAGGCAGGAGCACCACAGATGGTTTCTTTGCTTGGAAAAAGAATGGAAAAACAGAACTTGACTTATGTAAAAAAATACATTTTGTTGCAAAGGAACCAAAATCTGACCCAAATCATTTTTGTCCTTGTTCGAAAGTAGGATGAAAAGACCTTCTGCCTCAAAATGCTGTTTTCACCAGCAGCCTACTAATCCAAAATACATCATAGAAGGTGTATTTAAAAAATCATGATTACATACAATTTTTAATGTGACCTGCATTTCACTCAATGTATAGGCTGGATTGACTAAAAATGAGCCAGAATCGCGCCCCTAAAAGGCTATTGTTTGCAGAAGCTAAAAGTGAGATGATATTTCATTAACTCAATGACAAAGGATTTTATGACTAAGGAGTTGAGGCAGCCTGGCAGCATCTTGCATCCTTCAACTGAATCCCGTCAAACCCCAGTTCAAAAGAAAAATGAAGAGGTAATACCTATCTATAACTATATCTCCATCCCATTAACCCACAGTTATCAGCGCTGGGGAACGTGACCTCAAATGCTTATCAATGAAGTGGTTGCAAAGTCCAATAGCTTTTTTCTACAGAACAACTAAATATTTGAGCAGTGGTCAATGGCCAGTAGCCCAGTCTGCAGGTGGAGCAGCTTAAAAAACCTGTATGGAGTGAAGCACTACCCAAAGGAAGAGAAGCCAAGTTGCATTGTCAGTGAGGAATGTCCATCCAGGTCTCTGAATGAGGGAAGGATACCATGGGAGAGATAAAACACTTCTGCAACCAACAGCTATGCTCATAGTCTCTAACTGTATGTCTTTAACTGGAGAAGACCAAGCAATCTGGATTCTGTCATTTCCTCACTTCTGGACACTTGAGTTTGTCATTAATGCTCTTTTCATGTATTTCATTGTAAAAGATGCTGCAAGAGAAGCTAGTTGACTGTCTTGACCTCTGCATCACTGCCTTGGGAGTAGCATGAGATCCTACAGGAGTTATTCCAAAGCCATGTGGACTCAGTCCTGGGCAACTGGCTTGAGGTGGCCCTGCTTGAGCAAGGGGGGTTGGACCAGATGTCTTCCGGAGCTGCCCAGGTGCAACCATTCTCTGATATTCCTACCTTGAAGGTATGAGGATACCTAATGGTTACTGAACAGCTACTGCACCTAATGGTTACTGAAAAAACCTGTGAGTGTAAACACTCATAAGTTCCATTTCAATGCTGTTCACATAACACTGAAATGCTTTTAAAAGACAAAAAAAGCAGAGCTGTGAATAATTGACCACTGGTGTGAACATGAGATGGCTGTACACATCTAATGCACAACCCCCTCCTTTGTAATACAGGATGTTTTGACACTGGATACGTACTCTCTGGGGAGCAGAATGAGATCACCACATCCTCTCACAGAAGCAATCACACTTCTGCCCACTGGTGACACTCCTTTAATTTGATGGCAGAAGTAAACAAGAGAGGTAGTTACTAAAGTCGTCTTTGAACTTCAGTTTATTTGAAGTTTGGCATTTTTGAGATGGTGAATATCACCTTCCTGCCACTGAAGAAAAGAAGTTTTTTTATCTCCAACTTGACAGGGAGAGGAATTAGGGCAGCACCAAGACTTTAGAAAATGCTACTTATAACATGGCTCAGTCGTGTAAATCCCAAGCCCTGAGATACAAGTGATGATTCACAGATGGTGGCATCTTTCAAGTACTGCTAGCAATTCTTAATATTAGATCAAACAAATGCTGCAAGGAATAACTTGTGAGATCTAAGAAAACTTCCATGGATTCTTCTTTGTGGGAAAGCATTGATCCAAAAGGCTCTACCAGGAACTACCCTGTCTACAATGCACACAGAGGAAAACAGTGGCATGAGTCCTTTCAACGGGTACACACTAAAAATTTGACAATTTAAATTTTTTTTTTACCATTAGACTTTGATGCCAGGGACAGAAAGAACATGAACTTGAAGGAGAAACTCATATTCCTACCTTACGTGAGTACAGTATAGACCTTCATACCATTTATCACACTTAAAAAGAAAATAATAAGCTTCAGATGGTGGTGTTATTATTACAGAAAGTACAGGTCTTTCTTGTACTATGTGTATTGAAACCCCATAATTACAGAATCATTAAGACAATGACAAATGCTTAGACAATTCTGAGTACTCCCAAGGTATCCCCAGGCAGTCAAATTGCTCTTTCTCATGTCAAGAAACATGAGAAAATAGGTGGTTCTCTGATGCCACAGAGTTGCTGAAAGTTAAAAAAAAAATCACCCCCATGGAGAGCAGTAGGTCAGTACAGAGCTGTTCTTCAGCGAGAGCTCTTCTGTAAAGGAAGGATCCCCAGGGACTGTTGATGTGTTTTGAACCACTGAAGCAATCATGGCATGGGAAACCACTGCAGGTACTGCAGCAAATTGTCATTTTGCAACAGCCAAAAATCAGATGAAGTGTAGGAAATCTGCGCCTTCGATCTGAAGGTGAATCAAGGAGATAGGAGAAAAGTGAGGACAAATTACTCGCTCATGAGCCCTCTTGCCTCGAGGGTGAACTTGTGCCAGACACAACTAAAGAAAATAACTATACTAAGTTATCACAGATCAAACCAGATTACAGCATACAGGACAGGGAATCTCCCTGTCATCTGTAAAAACGGTAACTTTGAGTTTGAGGGGTTTTGTTTTCTTTAATGTAGGGTGTGAATTTCCCTGTCAAAGCACACAGGCACTACATGGACAGATTTCCTGTCCCCTTCCCCCTTTCAGCCCCTCCCCAAGCTCCGCTCGCGAACACGCTGAGCATGCAGACTTCCCTGACAAGACATTAGTTTTCACAGGCCAATGATTTTTGCTTCAGTGAAAACACATTTACCTGCCAAAGGCCAAGTTCTCAGTTGGCTCAAATCAGTGTGCACATCCTTGCCTCAGCCACCTAACTCTATTTGCAGGCTTTATTTAAGGTTCAAATGATAGCTTCACATATGCCTCTCCCTCTCTCCCTGCGGACCCTGCTTTGTAGTTGAAGGAAATCCTTACCTCTAGAAGTTCATCTCCAACGTGCATCCTTCCATCTCGTCCTGCAGGTCCATCTGGATTGATACCAACTACAAAGATGCTCATACGAGAGCGGTCCTTGTTGCCAGCAAGACTCAGTCCAAGCCCATTTTTGTCTTTCTCAAGCTCAATAATGTGCAACTCTCCAGGTAGATCTGCATACCTTTGCCTGATTTTTTCTAGAAAGATCAAGAAACATACAATGAGTTATAACATAAAATAACTTACATGCAGATGTTCAAGAACATACATAATCTAGATGTGTAAGCTGGAAGTTGATTGCTTCTCAGCAGTTACTCTTTGTTAAGAGAGGTCTTTCCAGCACAGGCTCCAAAATGCCATTTGCTGTCACTGTGTCACTCACACAACAAAATGCAGCATCAGCTGCAAAAACTATTCATCCTACTGCACTATTTTAATTATTTGTACAACAGGCTGTTTCTAAACCAAAAAAATTTTTAATAAACAAGGAATTTCCAGAGGCACTTCAATCTTACCTTACAAAAACTATCCATTTCAGGAAACTCTCATAAAGTTAGAGCTGGTTAATTAACCACTGTGGGGAACTGAAAGGCTTATGTTGCAAACACTTTGCAAACTTACATCTCAAGGTAGAGTCTTTTACTTCTGCTTCTTTATGTTTCTTTCTGGCAACTCAGGAATATGCTTACCAAGTTCTGCTTCACATTATGTGCTACAGTGCAGAGGATTACTCCAAGCAGATGTCAGGGACAATGTATATGAATGATTACATTTTAAAATGGAGCCTCACTAGACATTAAGGCAGTTATTTATCTTTCATCTACATCTCAACCATTTCTGTGACAGGGAATCAAATAGTTACAAAGTTATCTGGAGCCACAGTCTGTAGCTGATGGCAGTATAATCTGAATGTCTCTTCACCACTGGCATGCAAACACCTATAACTATTGCTTGTGAGGGTCAATCACATCAAGGGTGATTTATTTTTTATCCTGTCTGATTGTCCTCTGAAGATTTGAAAGCCAGTTTCACAACACGACCTGCACCCAGTGCTTCAGTTGGGCCATGTTAAAAAAAGCCAGTCAAAGTATTTTGCTGTGGCTGGATGTCACCTTTAGTACAGAGCCCAAGGTGAAAGAAACTGCTGCATTATGCAGTAAGAAGAGAAATAAGAGATATTATATGTTCAACTATATCCCCGAGTCAGCAGCAGTAGCTAGATCAATATTAGCTACTACCATTCTACTGGGGAAGCATATTTTAATCGTATGATTTAAGCACTGTAGTGAATGTTCCCATGACAACAAGGAACAGGGGAAAGAGCTGGGGAAAGTGAGAGGGAAGCAAGTGAAAGTGAGTGAAAACTGCTGAGAAGACAAACAATGAGGTAGAGGTGTTCCTGTCACAGTCTCTGTGCAGGCTGCCAGGGTGATTCAGCTGAACTTGGGTCCATGCTGCATCTCACCTTTCCAAGGTACCTTCTCCAGCATTTCTACCAGCAGCAGCAGCCCCTCGTGCTTCAGCAGAGACCACTGGGACAGGGGGAACAACCCCAGATGCACCCAAGACCACTTCCTACGCTCGGAGCAACACGGACAAGAATCAGCTCTCCCACCACTGTATTTACAGCCTGGCAGTTTCCTGCTGTGCTCAAAATTCCCAGTGGCCTGGAGTCTGAGCCTAAAATCCTGGAGGCAAATATTAAGGCTGAGACATTATCCCTGGAAGGCTGTAAAGCCCTACAGAGGTCTGTACAAAATCAGAATATCATAAAAAAACCCCAACAAACCAGAAACCTCAGTTGTTACTGTCAATTATATACCAAAAATTCATATAACTGTATTAAATGGTAATCCATGTAGCTGTGCAGTCCTTTAATACATTCCTTAACTAATTGGGTCAAAATGTAATTACAGGTGTGATTTGCTACTTGAATTTGGAAAAGGTTTTTTTCTCTGTTTAGTATGGAGGATACCTCATGCTGGAAAATATCAAGTGAGGAAAGGTCTCAAAAAAGGTGCTTCTGAAAGCCCAGAGATGCAGCACAGATGCAGCCACACGTGTTTTATTCACACTGTTGAGGTTTAATATTCTTTTCCCATTAAGCAAAGCCCAGACCTGTAGAGCACTAAGATATTTTCTGCCCACCACAAGCAAGCAAACAACTCACTGCAGCACAGCACGTAGCTGCAGTGTATCCCAGCTGTAAGAATATTAAGAACAGGTCATCAGCAGAGAAGGGATTTCTTAGTGGCTGCTGTTTTGTAGATAAAGCAAAGAATCAGTGCTCTGGAGGGATGCTGTTGGCTGATCATTGCTCTGCCACAGTTCCTTCCATTGCTTGTTTTACAGGGACAACACGTCTCGCTTCCATTTGCTAGGAGCAAAGCACACATCTAAAGTATGTTTTTAGCAACACGGACCTGGATACACAGAAAAGATGTGAAGGAGCAAGGAGAACACACATGCTTAAATGCCATACAGATGGAGGTGCATATCTTCAGAGACTGCTTCAAAACTCATCTCTAGCTTGGCACTGAAACACCTTGAAACTCCCCAGCTGAAGCCTGATACAGGAGCAACTCGTGACACTGCACATGGACACGTCACTCCAGCCTCTACCTGCAGACAAGTGCCTTCAAAGAGTACAGCAGCAGCAGCAAGTCTGTGAACTCTGCAGCACTTCCTCCTGCTGGAGCAGCCCAAAGTTGAGTTTTCTCATGTGGCAAACGTGTGAGCTGTTCAGAAGCACGCATGCATTCCTGTTACTTGCTGGGCTGAAACCAGAAGTCCTCCAAGAATTAGCAGTTATGGCAATGACCTGGGATGAGACAGAGCCTCACTAAAGTTTCTGGTCTGCCTGCATTAGGTCAGGACTGGAAACCTGGTGAGCTGGTGCCCAGCTCAGCCCCGTGGTTGTGTAAGTAATCTCCCACTGTGGGAACAATTCTTGGGTAAAGAAAAATTCATCTGGGCAAAAAACAGAGACAAACTCCAGGGGTCAACAAGTTGCTTTATTTAAGATGTTGTTTTGGTCTTTTTTTAAAGGGCTTTCCCCACTCCATGTTTTTGTTTGAAATAATACATAGTTATAACAGAAAGAAACCTGTGTGTGGACAAAGCCCTTTATCAAATGATCACATTCATTTACAAAGCAACTATCTGAAATGGCTGAGGTGACTGGAGTGGTGAAACAGTGGGAGACTAGAGAGGAAAGAATGAAGAAGCTGTGTGCTGAGCACCACTTTCAGCCTGGCAGGAGGGCAGCTTCCCTTATCGAGTGCCGCCGGAGAAGACCCAAGCGTGTGTGCACACGCTCGTGCAGGCAGGGACAAGCAGAGAGAGCCCTGCTTTTCAAATCAAGCCTCCCTTAGCAGGGTGTGCTGCCTCCCCCCTGAACAACAGAAGGTTCTGGCTCTCACAAGTCCCACCTCCTGCAATTCACCACTTCCAAGGGCTGTGTTCAGCAGCCAGCCTCGCAGCGTACGCGGTAACGCGCTATTCCCACCGGTTACTCCTCCAATCTGCATGCAAATATCCTCTGGGCATCCAGCTGACTTCCTACGACATTGTAATCGTATTCTCAGTTTGCCTTTTAATAAGGATCTCATAAGATTATTTTAAACAAGTATTTACTGCTTAAACAAACGTGCATCTAAGGCATCTTCTTTTTAATGCCTTTTTCAGCTGTTTTTTTTCCCCCCTCCAGCTGGTATCACTTTTCAGCTCCCTGCCTAGCATTGGGGAGCCAGTTAGCATCTGCTGTTGCACAGAATTCCATTATCTGCCTTCATTACCAGCTCCTTTGCACGAGGCGGTTGTAATTCTGGCGTTGCTGTACACATGGGACACGGGTTTCTTGTTCTGGCACTCCGTGGAGTTGTTCCCACCTTCGGTGACAATATGCCTATCACAGCCTCAGCAAACATACCTCACCAATGAGATTTAACTAGCTGAGGTTGTAGCCAGTTTCTTGAAAAAATCCTACAGAGATGTAACGTGAACTAAAAGCACAAGTATACGCTTTACTGATCACTCCTGCAATAATATTTCCCAGTTATATTAGCAAACAATTACATTTCAAAGAGAAGCCCTGGAAATGGAAGACAAGTGCTTTCATACAATATACTATTATGCTGCTGAATATGTTTCCCTGCTTCAGCTGCTATTCCTATTATATTAAGCAGAGAGATAAAAGAAATAAATGGGGACAATATGGTCAGGATATTGGAGTTTGCATGACCTAGCATTGCAACAAATACACAATTTATCTGTGCAGAAAAAAACCCAGACACCACTTCTCAGGAAGGCAAAAGGCTCTTTAAATTACCCAGATATATAAAGCACTTGCAAAGGGCTGAGGAGCCTGCTTCCCAAACATGCTAAGATCTCCAGTTAAGTGAGCTGAAAGGGAAGAGGTGTTTCTTTTGAAAATGGTGTCTCTGCATGATGCAAATTAGAGTCTATCTAGAAAGGTAAAAAGAGGAAAGAAAAAGCTCTAGATGATTCAGCTGGGTCATTGGTTTTAGTACCAAACACTCAATATTAAAGCTGTCTAGGCAAAATACAGAGAAAAGCGAGGTGGAAAAACACCACAAGGAGATGACAGATGATATTTGTATACAGAAGGTGATCCTGAGGATTTTATATCCCTCTTGTGTATACCTCAGATAACTATTAGCAACATATGCTGGCTTCTGGAGACTTGACAATGGTCTCATTTATCAGCCTGTGCTCGTTTTCATGGTTTTAGCCTCCATCCCTATCCCATGGCACAGAACATGGTTACAGCCTCAGCCTGTTCTGCTCCGGCAGCAGTGCTGCAGCATCACAACCACTGCTTTTCACTGAGTAATGGTGGGTATCAGCATGCAGCCAGCATCCACTACATGCAGCTAACCTTGCATATCAAACAAGTAATTCCCTTCTTGATTTTGCTATAAACATTAAAAAAAACTAATGTAGGAAGTCCCTTGAAAGCTCACCCTAGAGCTGTGAGGCCAGCACATCTAATTTACTGATTACAATTTACAAGAACCTAAATAAGCATATTGAAGGGACCATAATTGAACAAACAGGGTTTAGAATTCTCCCACTACTAATAATATAATAAGCTTATTGTTTTAATCTTCCCACTAGCCTTCTATTCAGCTCCAAGGAGACATATAGTTCTTCAAACCTTATCTCAAAAGCGATGCACTTGTCTGTTTTCATAAGCTTTAAACTGAGAAAGAGAGAGAAGAGAATTTCTGTAATGCTTTCCTAAATTCCATAAAATCATTCCAATTCTTCTCTCAGTGATCAGCATGCATGAGGAAATAAGGACGTTGTATTCAAAACTGGCAAATCGAAATGGAAGAGCCAGAGATACATCATGACCAGTTATGAACCCTCCCTGGGGTGGGGAGAGGAGAAGACAGTCTGAGGGGGCTCACAGCTTTGTAAATGCTGTTCTCTCCCAACGTGTGGGCAGGGAGCATCCCTGCAGCAGAACGGGGCAGCTCTGCGTTCCTCACCTGAGACAGAAACTCAGCATTCCCTACAGTCTCCCTCTGACAGCCACATCATGCCTTTGGCAACAGTCTGCTTCATGTGCACCATTTGGAAGTCACTTACCAAAACTGAAGCCATCATTTTCAGAGAAAAATAAGACCCCAAGCCCAAGTCTGTCATATATAAGGAAGATAAAAAAAAAAAAAACCACCACCAAAAAAAACCTCACCAGAGCTCCATGACTGTATCTCTCTCCTTCCTCTCCAAAATACTGTGAGCCAAAATATTATAGCATTACTTTTAAGTACATGAGAGACACAGACAAAGCCTTCTCTAGATGAACGGCTGAAGTGTGGGCTTTCCTACTCTCACAAACACAACTCCCCCAAGCTCAAGTGAAAAACAAGCATGCATTAAACTCTCCTGAGACACCATCCTTACCCTAACTTCAAGACTGCTTCTTCTCTTCCATTTTTTATACGAAGGATTTGGGCTATTATTTGGGACCTCCAAGTTTCTTCTCTTCTACCTGCTCCCTTCAGTTCATGCTCCCATTCCTTTTTGCTCCTCTGATGCCACACAAATGCTTGCAGCAGCTTCTCAGCTCACACAAGAAAACTTCCCTTCTCCTCCAATGCTTTTGTTAATCTCATTTGTCCCTCACTTCTGCAGCAGAAGGTAAAAAACTCTGCTAGTGATTTTTAACTAATCCAGGAAGGAGGGTATAATGAGAGTCTCCACAATTCACTTCAAGTACCCATCTTCATTTTGTTCCTGTGAGCAGGTGACATTTAGAAACAGTAATCATTAATTTTTTCTTCCTATAATCAAGGAATTGTCACACCCAAAGACAAGAGCAGAGAGAAAAGAGACATTTGTGCCTGGCTGAAATCCAGGGTAACTGCAGTCTGTAATACCAGGGAGCACCTCCAATGTTTGCACCATCTCACATCAACATTTTGAACAAAAGCAGTTCTTGCCAACACTTTTCTCTTTATTTCAGGCCCAAAGCTTCTTTCTAAAGCTGCAGTTTGGTCAC